AATTAAACATAATAAAACAGAACAATTGATGTAAACCTATTATCCTCATTCTGGACAACTAAAGTATTTCTACCAAACATGATCGAAAATAATCATGGGCATATAGTAAGTGTTAATAGTAGGAGGGCTCGATTTAACTAGGATGGAATTTACCTAAATCGGATTATATCATTAAATCGCGAGATACCATATGATATCGTTAAATCGAGTCCTGACTGTAGTAGTGATATTTGCAGTATTAAATATGGTTTAATTTTTGAAAGGTGACAATCGCGTCGGTACTCGGATATATTGGTGTCGCACAAGCAGGTATAATTGTAAATTAAAACAATGAATTTAAGAATTAGTACTAAATCAAATCAAAATTTATCTAGCTGATTATTGTGCCTCAAAAGCAGGGTTAATAGGCTTCCATGATTCATTACGATACGAATTAAAAGCGCGGTAATAATCGTAATTTGTAATCACAATCTTTAAATTCTCTCTTGAATAACAATCCCTTTTGGTTTATAAAAAGATACAACGCGCCTAAAATACGTACAACCCTAGTCTGCCCAGGTCATATAGGAACAGGCCTCTTTGACGGAATATATGTCACAGCACCTTTCCTCACACCATGTTTACCGCCCCTGGATCTCGTAAAACGTATAATCACTGCGTTGGATAGAAACGAAGGAACAGATATTTTTATTCCATATTTCATGTATTTGTTTCCATTTTTAAGAGCTGTTCCGGGATTCGTTTATGATTTGGCGATTCAGGTAAATTTTCGCTTTTTATTTGTGCTTCATCTTCTGGTAAAATTAATTTTTTATTCCTTTAATCTAAATAAATAGTTGGCAGGCGCTCATATCGGCATGAAAACGTGGATCGATAAACGTGGGTTTCTCGAAATAAAGAAAAGTGAATAAGCAACCAACAATCCACCCACATAATTCTAAGTAACAAGAAAAAATAGTGCCACTACCCAATAATCATAATATATAATATTGTATTTTAATAATTGGTAAATTAATATAAATTAATTCTAGAAACCCAAAATTTCACTATTTATATATACTCCAATTGTCCATATTTTTGTTTCTTTATATGTACATAACACATTCTAACCCCCGGTGCACGCCATTCAAACATAAAACAAAAAAAATATGCTAAAGTCGATTCAAAAGTTCCACAAATCCAGCATCCAAAAGTCCCAACCATCTGATCAAATCATCTGTGGCCACCGACAAGTCTTCGCAGACTTCTTTGGAGGCACGATAGTTATCCATTTTCAGCGGTCGAATTTCAGGGCCCGCGTTCAATATTGTTGTTTCAGTTGCGAATAGGTTCCGTGTCGGAGATATTAATAGCGGTTGTTGGTAGGGAAGATGAGTAGCAGTGGTGGAAGTGATGTTATTGTTGGCGGAGGGAGAAGGTGGGAGTAAATGTGTTGATTGGTCTTCTTCAGTTGTGATAGGAAACTATAAAAAATTTAACGTACGTTATTTTAATGCAAGATTCCAATATATCACGAAATATGAATAAATAGAATAAAAAAATAATTATTACCTTAGCTTGAGGTCTAGCATGTATATTACTACTACTAACACTAACACTTCGCTGCCTCCCATGAATAAGATTACTGTTACTTCCTAACCCGCCTCCAATGAAAATACCACTGCTATTCGAATCATTCTGCTGATGATGGTGATAAAGATGTTGTTTAGCACGAAGCGGCATTAAATCTTCTTCAATCTGTTGAGCGGGACAAGTCAATGCGGTAGCGGATCTTGAGCGTTTTGGAGACTGTGATGAAGATGATGAAGGTGTTTGATGCGGTTTTATGCCTCCAGTTGAAGGTGTTCGAGTTATCGCGAAAGTACCGGTTGGTGCTGATGAATCATTAGGCGTGTCGAAACTCATATGTCGTGTAGGTAATGGACGATTATGAGTAGGCGAGACGGATGCGAGAATAGATCGTGTGGGTGATGATGAAGAATATTGATATCCACTACTACCATCACTGCCAACCATATTCGAGGATGATGAAGGAAAATTGAACGATGAGATATCACGCGGTGGAGAAGATGCATTCGAGATTGTTGGTCTTCGTGCATTCATTGGACTAGATCTTTGTGTACTTGGTGAAATTGGCGGTGGTGAAATTGGGGTTGAGGGTGGGGGTGATAAATGTGGCTGATCTTGACTATTACTATTGTTCTTATTTTCGGAATCTGACGTAAAATGCTTGTGCGCAGAGAAATACCCACTTTCCGATCTAGAGGAATTGTTTAATCGTGGGCTTCCCATATCCACCGTCGGTGATAATAACCCATTATTCGAGTACGGGTAACTTTGACTAATCGGTGTGCCCATTCCATTATTGGAATTATTGTCAGCAGGTTGAGACGGGGGAAATTTTATTTCGGGTCTTGGTAAATCCTTGATATATAAATCGCGGCGGTTATTTTTCTCATCATTATTCCTCACACCACTTGAAAAACTATAAGAACGTGTTAGATTTGAAACATCAGCAAAACTCTTGTTCTTGTGTAAACTACCCTCTGAAGACTTTTCTCGTAATTTGTTAATATTGATATTATTACTACTAATAAAAGATCTAGATGAAGAAGAAGGAGGAAGATCCTGATGATCATCATCATTATTACCGTCATTATTATTATTATTATTAATACTATTGCTACTACTATTACTATTATTGTTGACGGAAGAAAATGTAATAGCCCGAGGAGTAGGGACTTCACTAAGTTGCGAAGAAACCATTGAATTCATTTCACTAACGGGCGGAATTGAAATTGTGGGAGTAAAAGTCGGTGATGGTTCTATCTGATAATTGTTATTATTATTGCTATCGGAATAATTATTGCCGTAACCGTAATTATAATTGTAATTATTATTACTACTGTTATTATTATTCTTATCGTTAAATGAATGACTATCACTATCCTCCCGCTCAAAAAGTTGGAGTAGTCGATGTGGCGCTTCAGAGTATTTTCGGTGAAACATTAGTGGTGGATTATTATCGTTGTTGTTGTTATCAATATTGTTATTGTTGCTATTATTACTATTATTACCATCATCTTCATCAACATTATTATTTAATTTAAAGTTTACATTGTAATCAAGTGATGGATTTCGTGATCTAGCAAGAATTGTGTGGTCATTTTCATTTGATATTTCGGAACCTATGGAGCGGGATTGTTGTTGACTGTCATTATAGGTGCTGTGTTGTTCATCGGATGATTCGAGTACAGGCGATAGTAGCGGCATGGTGGCTCCTCCAGTTCCAGCGGTAGCAGTAGGAGGAAGAGAACCCTCGGAACTACTCGAGATACTACCATTTGATTGGGATTTTTGGTGGTTTGTGAAACTGCTTGTGCTACTCCTCACCGTCTTTTATTAAATTATTTGTATAGGCAAAGCATGTGTATATGAAACATAAAGAATTAAAGATTTTTTTTGATATATAGTTTTTAAATTAGAAACTAAGAAATCAAAAATAACAAACCTCAAACTCCCAAGCATCGTCGTCATCAAATTGACGATCGTCTTCCAGGTCAAAGCCGTCGCTTTCACTATATTCAATCAATATAAAAGATTAACATTAATCATTCAACAAGCATATTAGGATTACTATAATTACTAAATTGATATCCTTGATAATGAAAAATATTAACCTGGACGGCGTGCCAAACGGATCCGAAAAAGAATGACGATACCCGGTTGCTTGTTTCCAAGTATCGTAGCGCGTTTTAAGATCACGTAATAGACCATTCGGTAATTTTGACGCATTTTTTATGAATTTTTGCTTCATTAATTCATCGGCTGTCGGACGCTATTTATATTGGTTGATTATTTTTCATTAATATTATGATCGTTTGCTTCGGATTATTTGTGCTGTATAACTCCCTATGAATACCTCTTCAGGACTTTCATTAAGACATCTAGACACAAATTCTTTGATCGGCACCGAAAACGGGCCTTCCAATTGTGCGGGTGGTGATCTTGGTATTAGTTGAATTGCTTTGTGAGCACTTTGATCGGCAAATGGTGGATTGCCGGTTGCAATTTCGTATACAGTAATACCCAGTGACCATATATCTGCCTATTCACAAAAGGGTTATTCAAATATGTCCATAATAATAAGATCGTGCTCTTGAAGATATTGGCGTTACGGAACTTACCTTTGTATCGTAGGTAGCACCTTCAGTTATAACTTCTGGTGCCATCCAATATCTGAAAAGTATTTTAAAGATATTTTTAATTAAATTGTATCAATGTAATAATTGAATAGTTATTACATACGGTGTTCCAACAAATGAGGTACGTTTCGATGACGTAGCAGTTAATTGTCCAGCGACTCCGAAATCACATAGTTGCACTTTTCCTTCGGCTGTCAATAATATATTTGCCGCTATTTAAATTACATGTAAAATTAATTTCTGCTTATATTGATATAGATATTAAAAAAAAATAATACTAATTTTTGTTAATAAGGAGTTTGTACCTTTGATATCACGATGAATAATTTTACATTTGTGTAAGTAACTTAATGCCTGTAACACTTCTTTTGTGATCACCGAAATATATTTTTCTTCAATTCGACCAGCTCTCATCTTAGAAACAAAAAAAAAAGTTAACACATCTTCATTCGTAAACACCCTTAAAACATACAAGGAATTTCTTACGCACCAATTCTCTTATGCTTCCACCAGCCGCATACTCCATCACGATCCAGAGTTTTGTCCCATGTAAGAAACTCGCGTAATAACGTGTAATGTTTTGAGAATCGCTATGTTTCAATTGTGACAAATAGTTCAATTCTTTTCGAATATCGGCAACATCATCTTCTTCAGTGTCTAGATTCAAGACCTTGATGGCGACTACTTCATTTGTCTCATTGTTAATTCTGGTGTAAGATAGATCATTTAAATATTAATTTTGCATATACAAGGAAAGAGGTTCTGAAGAATTCTCCAATAAAAAAAGTGAACCAAAATATTTCCTTCCTCTTTTTTACCCTAACCCCTAACCCGAAACCCTAAAACTCACCCTTTATACACCGCTCCATACGCACCCTTACCAACTAATTCCTGTCGGGTATATAATTCTTTTGATTTCTCTTTTTTCTTTGGTGGAAGGACAGCATGTCGCTTTTGTTCGTTATTTTTATCATTGTTTCTATTATTACTATTATCACTATTAAATTTACTATTGCTGTTGTTGTTATTATTATTATGGTTGTTAGAGTTGTTACTACTACTGAGGTGGTTGTTGCTATTATTATTATTGTTATCTCCACTGTTATTGCTGCTGTTGTTGCTGTTATTATTAATAATATTATTAAGACTATGTTGCATACTGCTACACTGTTTCTATTTAATCGATAATAATTTATAAGCTGTAAAAAAAAACACGAACGAACTAATACAGCAAAATTCGTTTGCCTCTACTTACTCCTTGGTAGCGTTTTTTTTTAATAATAGAAAATATAACAGAAAAATAGAAACGACAACGTAGCAGCAGCAGTCTGTGTTGTATATCGATTTAATGATTTCCTCGCAATTGGTAAATGCATGCATTTGCATACGATACACATTGAAAATCAATCAATCATTCATTTTTCATTTTAATCATTTTAATCATTTTAATTTAAATTTGTGATTGTTTTATAAAAAAAAATATGGCATCCTCGCAAGGTATTCATAGAATGAAACAGAAAACACTACAAGAAGTATTCAAGTTTTCTCTGTACCCTATTCAGCAATTCGAAGGCACCTGTGCGACGTATAAGCAGCCCGTGGAAATCACCAGCTTTAGCTATGATAGCGATAAAGTATTACATATGGATGATAGGCAGTTGGTAATTTGTTAAGCTGTGTAAGCTTAAGTCAAGGCGCTTTTTTTAAGGGTATTTGATATTCTTCGTTAATTTCGCGTGTTAAAATGTTTAACAAACAATCAAAAATAGCGATATTATTACCCGCCAAATTTGGCGGAAGAAGCTGATTTAACAAAAGGTTACGATACGTATATTCCGAAAGAGAATGCGCGTGAACCTATTGATGCATTGTTAGACGCTTTGTTTCATCACCAACAGAAAACTGGTGAGAAAGCTATAAGTGGTGCTGATGTGGTATGTGTGTATTGATTGACAAATCATAGTCGAATCATCGAGTTAATTATTGAGGAGGATTGTTTTATTTTAGGTATCATGGCGAGGTATTTTTACAAAGATCCTATGTACGCCTTTCACACGAAACGAGCCATGGGAGCTCGGGGCTACATTGTGGAATGTACGTGTATATGTTTCCAATTTTTTCTTAGTATTCTGTTTGAAAAATGGTTATAGTGCTTACTAAATTTCAGTGGCTTTATTTTAAACGATAGAAAACAATGTAAGTCATAGACATTACTACACAGTCAACGGAATTGTATCTAACGGATCGAGGTCCAGAACGGCCTATAATAATTCCTACTTGATATAACGGATTTTCACTGATGGATCGGATGAGTCCGTTATATCAAGGTTCATTGTGTATATTTACTTTCGTCTTATTTGCTGATTGGCCCCACTTATGAATGCACAATCTCATTCTCATTAGATTTATAGAGGAACACGATACAGACTTGTCTATGGCACAAGCGAATGCTATTACTCCACGACACAAAGAAATGATGTACTGGGGTTATAGATTTGAAACAATATGCACCGTCCCAAAACCACCGAACGAAATAAAATCGTCAGATGATCCCGATCTAATTAATCGGAAACTAGAGCTCGTTAATCCCAATATTCAATATTGCTCTGTGGCCAAAACAACACTTGGAAGGACTCGTTTGATAATGGGCGCGGAAGTTGATTGTTCAAATGGTATATTTTTTCATTATATCCATTTAAACAAGCATGTAAGTGTTGCTCTTGAAACTTAATATACGATATGTTAATGATTATAGATGTAAAGCCACCCCCTCCACAGAATCCTGTTGGCTCGTATGTTGAATTAAAGACATCAAAAGTGATTCAAAAAGAAAAAGATCAATTCACCTTTGAAAGGTATTTTAATATTAAAAATATTCATCTATTTTTTTCCCAAATATTTTATAAACCAACACTTTTTTATATAAAATAGGTTTAAATTATTAAAATGTTGGGCACAATCTTTTTTAATTGGAACTCCGAAAATCGTATTTGGATTTCGAAATGAAACGGGCATTCTGCAAAGTATAAGAGAGTTCAAAACATTAGAGATACCGCGGATTGTTCGTGGAAAACCAGGAATGTGGGTAAGTATTCAATTATGACAATTATACTCTTTAGCATGATTCCTTACAACATTATTTAATCTATGCTTTCAGGATCCATCCATATGTCTTAATTTCGCCAACCAGTTTCTGGAATGGCTACGAAAAGTCGTGGTAATTGATGACCCACGAACTTCTTACACTATAATGTTTCGGAAGCCATTTAGAGAGATTGAGGTAGTGCATTCAGGTGTTGGAAATTCAGCGGTCGCTGAAAAGTATATATCCATTTTTTGGGATACTATGTCAAAAAGTTGAAAAATAATAAGTGATTCACGTGTGCCGCGTATATAATTTATTACGAAATCTATTAATTTAAGTGCTTCTATCCATTGAATATGGTTTTATGATTCTTGCCAAACAGCATCCTCAAAAAGGATTGCAAAATATATAGTAAAAAGACTTTTCCCACGCTTTACATATAAAAATGAAATTTCCAAGGTAACCTTTAAAGCTAATTGTAGTCTTCAAAAAAAACTTAAGATGCAAGAAATATTTTAATTATAAAACCATTTATAAACTTATGTTTCACTATAATTTCAAATCGGGTGATACTTTATCGCTATGGGATACTGCACATAATAATTGAAATAAAATATTCAGAAAACTCGAAAATAGCCTTTGCTCGAATGGATTCAATCAATGAATGACGATTCGACGAGTAACTTTGGAAAATTTAAGCCTAAATTTAATCTCAAGAAATTGCACCGTGAATATTGTTTTAGATTCATTTCGCAAAAAAATAATTGGGTTTTAAAGTTTTCTACAAGGTTATGCCAGTTAAATCATTTAGAAATTGAATTAATTCCATGTTTATTTTCAAAGTATACGTATGGTGACATTACACTAATCCAACCAAAGGTAATTATCTGTTGTCTAGCCTTAGTATTTATTTTTACAGTAATTCGTTAAGTTCCCAATGTAGCAGTGTAATATATTAGATGAAATATGTATCGTAAATAAAGTGCCGTTCTTCAGTAGACCTCTTTTCCGATTCCTTGTTCAACCTGAAGTCATATCAAAAAACAGTTCTATATCATTGAATGACATACTCGCTTAATATCAAAAAGAATTTCCGAACGACAACTTTTAGAAAATATACAACTCGCTAGCAAAGGATTTGGAAGAAGTTCTTGATGCAGAGTACTTTAATAAGAATACAACGAACGCATTAAGAAATATTAGAGACACATGGACTGCGGTTTTGTTGATCTGTGGCTTTTGCTTGCGAGGAGACTGTAGGTCATTCGAGTTTGTAAGTCTTGGGGGCTTGTAGGCCACTCAAGGTCTTAACCACACAACTCACATTCAATCGCCATTCTTCAAAGCTGATTTACTAATAATTATCTTTTTTTTGCTTTTAAAATCATGAAGTTTATTGTGATTAATTTGTGAGTATGATATATTTTTTGACTATTTATTTTTTTGACTACAGAAAGTTCAGTTTTTTTCTTTTACAAGAAAATAAGTATCACTAAATATCAAAAAAATATATTACAGTTATTAATATTAAAACTAATATATGAATTAAAGAATATTATTTGTAAATATTTTTAGAAGGTTTTATAAACATAATGATCATGGCAAAATTATCATAGCAAAGTTAGCAAAACTATCACAGCAAAACTAACAATACTATCATAACAAAACCAATATTATGATACTAGCTAAAGTAATATTTAGATCATAGCAAACCTAGCATAAGTATCATAACAAAAGTATCATTCGTATAATCTCTAAAATATATAAAAGTGATATATCTTAACTAGTAAATTTAAATAGTTAGTTAATAGAAAGTTAATAAGTCAGATATTTAATTGTTTAATTTAGTTTGAGTTTTATGAGTTTAGTTCTCAATTTGCACTTTAGTAGATTATAATTTTAAGAAAATTCTAAGAAATTTCTCTTGTAGAATAGATCTTGATTAAGATCTATTATTTCATCTTGTTAATAAACTGAACATTACATCTGTCTTGAAATTATATTTTGGAATTGGACTACATTCTAGCTAGTCACAACAAGAACATTATTATTACCTATCTTTAGATTAACTTTAAAATAATAGTAAAGATATTCTTGTTAAATAAATCTTTTAAAAACTTTCCCAAATATCATTATAAGCACATGTTTATTTTTATTACGTGCTTTTATAATATTAGATTTAATACTCACCTTCACTTCAGAACTCATATCAAAAAGGTAATAATATCAAAGATATACTAAAAATTAAAAGTTCAAAAAATATTAAGAAGGTAAAAAGATTAATATATATAATTTTGTATTCATTATTTTTATTATCTCATAATATATATAGGTTAGAATCATAAAAAGTCTTTAATAACTTAGAAAAGAATAATGCAGAATCAACTAATATAAAAAATAAATAATCTTACAAAGATATTTTGATATTTATTATCTTATATATAATAATTTATTTATTAATATTTTAATTTTTAAAAAAAAGATAATGTAATATGAATATTATTAATATTAAAAATTATATAAATTATAATTTATTATTTTTAAAGATATAATATAAGATTATTAATTTATTTAATTATATTTAACTATATATAAATTAAATATTATTAATTTATTTATATTTTATATTTATTTTATTTTATATAAATATATTATTTTGTTTTATAAAATAATTCTTAAATTTAAATACTATTCAAATAATAAAATTATAAGTATTTATAAATTAAAATTATTTATTTTATATTTTATCTTATTTATAATTATAAATAAATAATCTTATAATTTAATAATAACAGATATAATTATTATAATATAATTATTATAATATTACTTATTATATTTTATATTATATTATATTATATTATATATTTTTATATATATATATTCTTCTAAAATAAGTATCAGACCCCCTTTTAATTTAAATTACTCAATAATTCATATAATAATTAATCTTGATTTTTTTATAATTTATAAAGTAACTTTATAAATAACTATTACAATCTTAATATTTTGTTGGTTATCCATTTTTAGTTTAACTCATCATGACATGCTTTTCACTAAACCTATATAAACATGTTCAGAAATTTGAGCCCACTCATTCTGTAAGGCAATTTCTAACTCTCTAATATTTTTTGAATGTTTTAAATGATTTTGAATATGATATTCCAATTCTGATTACAAATGCTCAATTAGATTCAAGTCAGATGATTAACTTGGCTAATTGGATAATATTTTGATCTTCTTCATCATAATTTACTCATCAATATCCCTAGTCATATGAATGGGTATATTGTCTTATTGAAATATGTAATCTTTTTCATTAAATTTAATATTAATGTAAGATAATAAATATTTCTTAAGTATTTTTATGTAGGATATTCTATCTATTTTGCCTTTTATTTTAACAAGTGAATACAATTTCTTATCTGAAAAGCAATCTCATACCATTAACTTACCACTATCATATTTTACTAAAAAAATAAGATTTTTAATATTAAAGCATATTCTAGAAGTTCTCTAAATATGTTCTGATCCATCTGTTTTAAATATAATAAACTGATTTTCATCATTTCAAATAATATTTACCTATTTTCTGACTGATCATTCTTTTCTCTCAAAATACTAATTGAGTTGATTTTCTCTTTGTTGTGATAAGAAAAGAGATTTTGTTACTGAAATATAAGAGTGAAATTTAATCTTATACAAATACTTTATAAGAGTGTAATCAGAAACTTGAATACCAGTCTTTTCTCTAAATTTTTTATTAAGCAAGAGAACTAATGCTCTTTTGTATTTTTTTATAATTTGTTTTAACTTGTATTTGGCTTTGATATTTATAGATCAAGAATAACTATTTCATTTTAATAAAGTTTAAAGTCTTATTAATATTATTTCTTGAAAAATCAGCCTTGTGAAAATTAATAATCTGATAGTATTTACTTTCAGTTAATTCTGAATTTTTAAATATTTTATTATTAAAATCAAAATCAGATATTTATAATTTAGATATATCTATCTTTTATTTTGTAAATAATCAATAATTAATCTAAATAATGTGTAACTTACTATATATATTTATGAGATACTAGATTATTATATAAGTTATTATATAAATTAAAAATAAAGAAAATCTGATACTTATTTTAGGAGAATATATATATATATTAATTTTAATTACTTAAATTATAAAAAAGATGAATTAAGAATAATTTATATAATTTATATAAGATATAATTAAACTTATTAATATATTAAATCTAAATATTATTTAAATAATAAAATTATAAGTATGAGTTAATGCAAAAAGATTTATATC